TCATTCAAAATACAAATTTAAACGTTGGGCGGCCGCCAATATAGGCGCCTGATATGATTTACTAGCAGCAGTGTCGCCAAAAACCGCACTGAACAAACGAAAATACATTCGAAAACTCACATATTTTTCATAATATTCTCAATCACCCTAGGTACTGGTCACTGAAGAATCACCTTGCAAACGGTACACACACTCGTGAGCTCCGAAAAAGAGACTGGGATCTGGTGTGATATTCCTTAAAACATAAATATAAATAAATCTTAAAACATTTCGGAAAATGTTCTCCCTTTTTATTTTTCAATGTATTATAAATTAGCAGACATTATACGAATCTAATGAAAAATAAATTTAAATTAAATTAATCAACGTGCTTTAAGGTAACAATATATACAGTTGATTTTTGTAAGTAAACTTATTCGAACATAACCAAAGAGCCTAAAAAAAAATGCAACACACACTCGTATTGCAGTGTCATTGGAAATCAGTTTTTAAATAGCTTCATACCTCCAAACGTATTCATATAATATCTTCTATAAAAGGTATCTTATGGAAATTAAAGTTTTAAAATGTTAAAAATATTAATTATAAATAAAGATATAAATATAATAATAACAACAATAAATTAATAAACAATGGTACCTATAATATTATGCACAATTATACAAGTAAGGAAAATCACAAACACAAACTAACAGTAGGTACTATATAGTCTCTGACTTCATGGTAGGTACTTTATGACTTACTAGGTAGGTAATTTATAATTTGATAAAAATTAATAGTTTAATGTACTACTCTTAATAACATAAAAAAATCATAAGTAAATAATATATTTTTCAGAAACATGGCAACGAAAGTCATAGCTGTCGCATTCAACAGTAGTTACTGTAAAATATATGGCCACAGGTTACGAAAAATAATGGTAATTTTAAAGTCATCCACCCGGTAGCGACACTTCCTATTGACTTAAGTGTCATTTTTTAAAATATTTAATTTAAGTGTGTTAATAATTATTTATTAATTAGCATGCAATTGAAAATGTTATGTATGTGGTAATATTAGCAGCGTTCTATTTCAGTTATAATTATTTTAGATGACAACAATAGATATAATACACACTATTATAAAAGATAATTAGTAATTAACATAATATGAAAAAAAACATTTTTTTTTAAGTTTTCATGTAGTGATCATCGTGATAGTCATTTTAATTTCATGATATGTTGGTAAACTATCACAAAGTTTTTAGTTTTACTTATTATACTAAATTTTTTGAAATATTAAAAACTCAATGTTCAAACTTTATAGTTTATTCACCATTCTTTTAAATATTACCTGCTCGAAAATAACTTTTGAGTACTTTCAAGCTACATTTTAGCGGGAAGAAAATAATTAATTTTGTATTCAATGTTTATTTGATGTTTTTTCTGATTTTTGGTGGTTAATTAAATTAAGTGGACTTATTATTAGTTAGGTACCTAACATTAACGAGTATATTTTAACGTATCCGAGTTCATACCATTAATCATATCATTATAACTAAAATAATGACTTCAACAATAACACAAAATACGTTTTGAGATCTTAGACGACATAATATGATATTATGCAAGGTATAATATTATATTTAAACCGATTTTATTTGGAAACCTTAATTTTTAATGAAAATTCTATTCCAACTGTATCCGTCTTAGATTCTAATCCGCCATTTGTATCGTCCAATATCCTGGATCATGTATAATCGTAATAATTACAATACTATTTTAAAATGAGAATATTCACAAGTAGTTATACAAAAAAAAAAAGCATGAAGATTATTTTTCATTGACTTTTGAGAACAATTAAATATTTAACAGGTTTTCAGATCAGTAATATTATGTAGGTATTCTAATCCTTTGTTAAAATTTACCGGGATGAGGTCGAGAGCATGTAATATTTAAAGTTAAATGTTTAATATTTTTTTGATAAGAGTATTTTGATTTTGTATGAGTCGCTTAATAATGCATCAAGTTAATTTCAAAGTTTTCACTTAAAAATGTATAATACCAGAGAAGTAAATATCAAAAATGTACTATAGATAATTTAAAAAATAAGTTATAATCTTGTGGTTTGATCCGAAGAAAAAATATATTTAATCTGTTGTTTATTATTCACTTTATATTAAGTAGATAAATATTATTCGAACATATAAAATATACTTTATACTATTAGCTCGATCTTATACAGAGATAAAATAATATACACATTATTCTATGATCTTAATATTTCTAAGTACGTATTTTTTGTTGATTTATGTTGATTAATTTTCAGTAGATGCTCAACTAAAACTCTTTGCTTGAGGGATAGAATATTGAAGGGCATTGTACAGCTTGACCGTTGTCGTAAAGATAACTTTCTATATCTATTGAATACGTAATTTTAATCCTAAATTCTAAATCCTCATATCCTATCTTCGGTTTAGATATCGATGCAAAAGTAAAGGATACAACGAATACACTTCCCGTTTACCCTGAGGAATATTATACTTTTTGTATATCTATGACATGTAGATAATAACTTGTTAGAGATTGGTGTCTGCTTGGATAATACAGATAATACAAATACTCATTGAACATTATAACAGCTGTATGGTTTTGTTTGAAGATATAATACTACAATACGATTTTATGTTTGTAGAGCTCATTTGTCAATTATAATATTATTACTTGTCAAACTGTCAAAGACAGTCCTAAGTTATTACCCACAAATTGGACCTATATTATAACTATTTGTTATTCAACAAATTCTTTTTTAGAAAAATGGTAATTTGATTGTAACTATTGTTGGGTTTAAGTAAAAATATTATGCCGATGTAAAGTGCAAAACTTTGAAATGCTAAGTACTATATTTCCATTAAAATTTTGTTGTTTCTTGTATACACATTTATGGAAACACTGTAGTTAATACTGTTATAATATACTATAGTCTATGAGTATTAGTACTATTGTATTATTACTTGACGTATTGCTAATCTTGCCATGTTAATTATTACCGTCTATTGATATGTATTGTAGTCATTATTTTCAAATAATTTTTTTTTTCAAATTTTTGTGTAAATTAATTGTGGTGTAAAAATGTTTCGTTTACAAGTTAACGAAACATAATAATATTATTATAATTTTAACACAATATTACGAGTAATAGGTAATGCATTTTACATTTGTGCAATGACACCATTTTATAGTATATTATTTGTCGTGAATATTTTTTGGACGACTATTATTAAAGTATATGAAATATTTAGAATATCATTGTAACATACTCGTATTATATTTCACCAGTTTCAATAAAGTTACAATCGTACCTAATCAATCAAATATAATTCCAAATACTTTGTATGACATTTGACCATTGTTTCGAGTTGTTTTGTGTAGTATCTAAGAATCGTATTATTGTTTCCTTTAAAACTAAAGAACGATGTGCAACATATAAACATTGAGTTTATACTGGCTTATCACATCAAGTAAATCGTAAATGGTTGTAAATGATTGCATAGAAATAATTTCCACTAAAGACCAAGATTAGATGAAACTATGAAAGCACTTATCTATTCCAGTGATGTGCCCCAATAACCTTTGATAACCGAAGAAAGAGAAAACGCTAGATTGTGAATGAAAATAATTTTAGAACAAGACATTAACAATTTTTTTTAAAATTAAAATCTCAAGGGTTTAATTTAAAGTCCGTTGATGGGTTTAAGTTTCATGCGAAATATCGTTTTTCTGTATACGTTTTACGGTGTTAAATTTTGATTCAGTTTTAATATATTTCGTTTCTGTTTGAAAGATGATACCGTATTCGTATTATTTAATGTGCTCATTAAAATCTTTGCGAATACCTACTTTATATTTGTCCTATGAATGATTTGAAAAAAATATAATTTAATTTTAAATTTTCAGATAAAAGCTTTAAAACTATCAATACGTTAATGCAAACAATAAACTGTGGGCTACTAGAAAAAACTGAAAAATATAACGGTTTGGATACCACAGTAATTGAAAAAAACTGATGTAAATACATTATTATTCAACGTCGTTGTATCTAATTTGTCGGAAACGATTTATATAACTATTTTATATAACTATGTTTCAAAGAGCATAGTAAAATAAATAACAACGGGTACTGATTAAAAGTCGTGGTTCGGTATTCGGCCCTTCTTAATTTTCAAAGCTCACTACTAAAAAAACCTATTTGAAATTTTTATATTCGATGATATATATATTTTATATAAATTGATTTCGGACAATTGTGTTGCTAATATTATACGGTATACCAAATTGGAATACGCATGTGTGTGCGCTCGCGCGAGTGTGTGTGTGTGTGTGTGTACATATATATGCAACGATTCATCTGCACAAGTTGCCAAGGAGGCAATATAATATAGTTCGAGACTATAAGATATAAATAATATAATTATATTCTATACCACAACGTCTATGCTATTCTGGAAACTATAATAAACCAGCTAATTTATGTGGGTTTTTTTTTTTGAAAAAATAAAAAACGTAAGTACAAACAACTGATTACAACGTTTGGATAATATTATGCTTGTAATAATTATTAAATGTAATATTCCTTGTGCGTCGTAGTATATGATGTAATATATGATAATATATGTGTCGTGTGTGCGTAGTGTGCGTACACATTGCGTGTTGATGTTAAAATATGGAGATATAATATAAGACCATAGACCTATAAACTACGTTTACATACAACACCTCGTGGTACACCTCCTACCGACCGAAGAAGAAGAACTTTCGGTTTGTTTCGCAAAACGAGGTTTGCGGGGAAAAGATATAGGCGACCGGGAAAAAGCTCGAGAATAATTTCGGACACTTTACCCTTGAGCGCGCGAATGCGATCCAATAGAATGCGCCGCTGTCCCACGTGACTGGCAGCGCGTGCGACGTGGTCTGAAAAGCTTGAGGCCTGCAACCCTGGAAAATCCAGTAGAAAATCGACTCTTCGCCGTACGTACCGATATACGCGCGACGCTTGCAGTTGTGCGATATATATATTTGCGAACATACGCTTTTTCGTTTTGCCGTTCGTAAAAAAATCGATCGTTTATTAAGATGATAAAATTCCTCGGTGTTTCGATGCAGCATGCGAAATGTGTGAATTGGTTTTTTCGCTCTAATAATCGTAGTTCGATCCTGTCGTTCGTCCGCGACTAATTTATTTTTTACTGTGCTCGTACTAATATTACTTAATCGTAATATAAAATCCATAGTGAAAAGTAAGTAAACTATGAAAGAGTTGGAAGTTTTTTTTTAGAAATATTTGATCGATAAAAGTCAGGTGTCACCGAGTTTTTTTCGTCTAGTTGAAGAAATATTCGAGACGATAAATTTTAACAGATAAAATATATTTTCAGGGTCCTCGTTCACAAAAAAATTTCTAGGTCTATAAGGAATATAATTTATGGGGATTTCGTAATATTATTGTTATTTGCTATACGATTGGTTTTCTATTGTCGCATTCATCATGTCCAAAACACAGTACAGTATGGTTTCATAAGGTACCTCTTTTACAGGTCTCTATATTACAATGATGCGTAACGATCGCAAGCTATCTAATATATGCACCAATATATATCAACTAATAATAGTCATTGTTAGTAATGTATTTGTTATTTTTGTTTCATACTAATTTTTTTTGCCTTGAGTATTTTTTCGAAATTTCGGCCTCATCTAGTTTGTAATATTATTCCATACTTTAATTCGATTTCTATTAAAAACACATATCTACATTTGTTCGTTTCAAAAAAATTAGTCTTGCATTTCTAAATATATTACTTGTATACATTATAAAAATGTTTTAATTTCCTTTGCCGATTGTCGAATATGAACACATATTTCTAACATTATAAAATTACATAAACTGTTTAAACGAAACAATACATATAAATATCAATTATTAAAACATTTTTATTTGTTATGGTACTAAATCAATCATTTAACTTTAAAATTATTAAATATAACTGGTGGTAAATCACTTGTTTTTAATATTCGTTGTATGTGTAGTTTTTCATGATTTATCCTTAACATAATAATTTAGTATTATTTCTATTCAGTAGAGAATTATGATGACATATCGCTGAAAATCCCAGGTGGTTTCACTTTCAGGGTCTAGAGATATTATTCAATCCGGAAATTTTAATTTGACGTATAGATCAAGAAATCTCATGTCGTGTCGGTCTCGTTTTTAGTGTGTAAATATTATTTTATTTTTGTCTTTCACGTTGATATGTATTTATATATACACTACGCCCTACAAAAAAATCAGGGTATCTCCTATTCTTACATATATTTTAACCTTATTTATATTAGAGGAAATTAGATTGAATTTAATTGATGCTCAGGTAAATTTTACTTATTTGTTATTATAATTTATTAGTAGAGAGTTATACATGATAATTTATGAGTAAAATAATAGAAAATTATTAAATACTTACGTGAAATTATGAATGAAATTTTGATTTCATACTTAAAATCACATAAAATCTTTTTATATAGGTGCATTTCGTTGATAAAATCATATTTTTTTACGGTATATGAATGTTAGAGCAATCATTATTTTTTGCCACAGAGTACTAGGCAATACTAAACCCAATGCAATGGTGTTATAAGTAGTTTTAAAGTTTATTTGGTTATGCAAAAATTATTTGAAAATCGATTTCGTAAGAGCTTATAACATACGCGGCTAGTGTCTACTTCTATTAATCGCACAACGGAAGTTTGGAAATTCTGTATTATCCGACTTTCTACTGACCGTTTAGCACGATAATATTATTATTGTTGTCGTATTTCTTTTCTATTGTATTTTGTTTGAGGCGTCATCACGGGCACCGCGTCTGGTGCTTACCTACACACAAGCTACTGGCTGTTTATTAGTAGATTTATATAATTTATAAAAGAGTGTGCTCGCGGCGACGAAATTCAGAGACGCTGTCGTCTGTTAAAACAAAATATTAACAATATGATGTGCGCGTAGAACGGTTTCACGAAAACATGACAATATATGGTCGTTAAAAGTGGTGGGATGGGTGGGCGTGCCAAGCCAAAATAAAATATCATTAGTTTTCAAATAAAAGCTCAATTCGCCGCCGCCGTTCTTGCGGTTATATATTGTATTGTCTTTTTATGATTTCAATCAGTATATACGGTATCCGTGTTAAACCGATTTCACTCACTATAGTAGCATTATAGTTATATATATATATTCAGTGGGGCCAGGAATTTTATATCCTAAAAAAATTCAAAGGACAATGTCATTATAAAAATACACAAATGACTTCAAAAACAACTCAAAATAATAAAACGAAAAGCTATAAGTACCAACATAATATTATGTTTGTACGGTAAATTATAAATATAATGGAAAAATCGATATTGGAATAAACTATAATAGTCGTCGTCATAATTATAACAAATGTACTGAATACATTAGAGAATTGAATTAAAACACGCCCAATTTTTATCGGTTTCAAATCTGAAAATGAATGTCAGTTTATTCAAATTAAATTAAGGTTCTTATTTTAACTACTAGCTTATAGTTTATTTTTGTATCATTACATTAAATGTATGCATTTTTCGAGCTTATAGACTACAAGAAAAATAGTATTGTAATTTTTCCCACATAGCACAAAAAATAACAAGAACAAGTTTAAATGTTATTTTAAACAGTAAAAACATATTTTAAGCTAGGACACCATCAAGTACTAAAGAAGGCAACATCGGAGTTCCATATAATGAGTAATGACTAGGCATTAGACAACTGTTAAAATATATTTTTTTCAAAATAACAACTGAAGTCATAAGATTATTTTTACATTTTCGACTTCATGGTAGATTGATTTTAAATTTTCGTTGAAATTTAGACCCCAGATTACACGAAAGATCACCTTAATGAGGACATTATTCATCAGTTATACAAATCGCATCAAGAAACTTTTAATAATAGATTTCAATAAATACTACTATTGCCATTGTCATAATTCGGACCTTTTTTTAAGTACCTTCCAATAATTATTGATTAGCGTAATCAATATGGAGACCATAATATTACAGAATATTGATTACTATAGTGTTATATAGTTTTAACTCCTTTCCAATATATATTATACACCTCAGTCACGCATTTATTAAAATAGGTAGAATATATTACTATATGCATACTACTTAATTACATGTGTTAAAAAAATTAATAAATTGATTTTTAATAATATAATTTCTTTTATTTCAAATAAGTTTGTGAAAAAAAAACTAAAAAATTGTATATATTTTAAACGTTGGGTTAAAAAAAAATTTTAATTTAATTATAATCATGCCAAACTGCAAAAATTAACGTAATTATTAATCATATTATTATTTATTTAAAGTTAAGAAAGAAAAATATGGGTAAAAATGTCTTCTAAGTTCTAATACAGGTTAAAAATAAAAAAAAGTAACTTAAAATGCTTACAATTGATTGGTAGTATAGTAATTAGTAATAAACGAATTATGAATTATCAGGATCATAATATTAACTATTATTTATTATCTATACATTTAAATTTAATGTATAATGAATGTATCATATACTCGTATACTGAGTAAGCCAACTGTTATCTTGAGTAAGAAATAATTTTGAAAACATTTTCATTTAAAAATACCTATTATGTAAACACTGAATTTAAATAAATATGTTTATTAAACATAGCGTATGTATATATTATTAATTAATCACTTGAATTAAACCTCGTAAGTTGTAATTTAAAGTGATAACAAATTGTTTTCATTTAATAAAACGGAACGTACCTACCCATACCTAAGAATCAACAACAATTTTATAATCTCATTCTAATGACTGTGTTCATCGCTAGCATCGAGTTTTGATAAAAAAAAAAATGCTTTTATTTACTTATCAGTGGATTCATACTTGTACATCAAGGTAAATAAAATGGTTCGTGAATTATATGTTGTACCTACCTACATTGTTAGTAATATTATATAATCCGATGGTATTATTTTTAAGTTAGGTTAGGTAGGTTAAAGGTATTCTACATTTTATAGATTTGTTAGTAAAAATGATCATGTGAAAAAAAAATTGTATACAACAATTGTTGTCAATCTCGATTTTTAAAGAAGCGTAGTTATAGACCATAAACTATAAAGTGTAAAGTCCATGAACTCGTATAATTTTTTTCATTACGGTTTTCTTGTGTTTTATTGAAATATATACATAAAAGTGTCACACAAATATAGTATATATTATAATATCATATACATTGTAAATAATAATAATTCATTGAATACATAAATAATTTAACCAATGGGCACACTTAGCATTAAAGGGTAAAAATATTACAAGTATCAAGATACAATCCAGAGTCTTAGGTACCCATGATGAAGTTGTAGAAGTGAAGGATGTTTAGTTGCTTTTGAATAGTAATTATTCTTTTTATTTGAATTTGTTTGTTATTAATCAATATAATATTATTATTGCTTTTCCAGATGGAACAAGATGATAACCAAAAATCAGATAACAAACGCCGTCAATCTCTAAGTATTGACAAGGCTGCGTTTCTATTGCTCCGAATTAAGCGGGTGTTCAAAAAAAGAAGTCAAAGCCAACAAATTGAAAAAAGGTTTTTTTTTAAACAATATCTATAATAACATTATTTAAGTATTACCTATACATAATAATATTATGTCAATGGTATATTGGAAATTGAAAGAGATGTTCGACATACGATTCAAATGTTTAGGTTAAGTCTTATTAGTAAAAAGTTTTGTGAAAATTCTTAGATGGTGCCTTTAGATTAACTATTTATTTAATTGTAATTTAACTTAAGGAATTCAAAATGTAAAATTAATATTATATACTGCTAATTAAAAAATATATATCAGTAGATCGTATAAATAAATTGAAAAATCATCATATATGCATAGTATTATTACGAAATATTTTATTGTTCTATCATCACATAAGTTTTTGAAAATAGCATGTAAATATTTTAAAGCAATGATGATTTAAAATTTCAATATTAGACCAAACGTCGAGAATCAAAAATTAGGTATATTGAAACAGTATAACAAATTACAAATTCCTTCGTGTTTCAGAATAAGTCAACAGATTTTATAATTATTTAGTTTGTCATAAGTAGGATAAGTGACAAAAACTTAAAATCTTCAACTTAAATTTTTAATCTTTGTTTATTAAAGTTTTACTTGTGTATATTTATATATAAAGATTTTACAATTCGCGTAACATTGTACACATTTTTGGAAAATGGTTAAAATATTCAAAATAATTAGAATAAATTCTGACATTGTATTTCTTGAAAAGAACTACTGAACTGCACCTATTAAAATAAATGTTCAGTTAACTCATGACTAAAATAATTACATAAATAATTTTTTTTTATCTGTGCAGTTGTTATAAAACTTATTTTGTTCTATATTTATATTGATTTATGGAACGGTGAGTGCACTTTATAAGAAACTTTTCGGGTTTAAAAGTGGAAACGGTGATTAATTATTTTTCATAAAATATAATATATTATAAAAGTGTTGAGTAATATTATTTTAAAACTTTTGATGTTATAAAAGGTATCTATTTTTTACATCACACAAGTATTGAGCACATAATGTCGTAAGCATTCATTAAGCTATAATGTATTTAAATTTTCAATAGATTTATTTCAAATGTTATAGACTTTTATAGTTATATAATTCTTCAAAAAATAAAAAGTTTACACATGTATGTAATTTACAGTAAAAAGAAAAAAATCAAAATGAAATAAAATCCTGAGAGTCAAGTAATATTTTAAACTTGTCATTTTTAAAAGTAAATGTCATAAACATTAGGCACTCACGCTTTAATTATTAATATAGGTAACTCGTAACTAGGCTTTTTTAAATTTAATCTTTTGTGTCAATTTTTAGTTAGTAATATACTTATTATCCTTTAGTAAAATGTATATAACGTCTTCCCGTTATGTAATTCACTGTGCAAAGTTATAGACTCCTATTATTTATCTGATTATAAATATTTAAATGACACTTATTTCTAAGCTTTATCTTTCTTTAAACATTTTAATCTAAATTTAAAATCTCATATAATGTGTTGGGTGTATAACCCTGTTGGCTGTTAGTGTTTGTACTAAACTAATTTATCCTAATAATCATTGTAGTGGGGTTAGTAATTCTTTTTACTTCAGAATATATAATTTACTTTTAACATGCAATCATCTACTTCATTTGGTATAATATAGGTAAGTAATACGTTATTATAAATAAGGTGTCAAATTGTAAAATGAAACTATTCAATAATTACTATGTTATTAGAACATGGCTTTCTAAATTTTTCTTTATTTTTCAAATTGTAGCTAGAAATGTTCATATGATGAAAATCAAAACCTTATTTGATCTAAAAAAAAAAATATTGTGATATAAGTTTGATTTGTACATAATATATTTTATAATATTAATAAAGAATTTGATCAAAGCAATATTTTTGGGCAGCTATGCGTGAAGAATAATTATCTTGGGGCGGGGAGGTACTATTTTTCATCATACTTCTATAGGGGGTTTATGACGTCAATTTTGGTATAGGACAATTTATTAATCTTAAATGTATAACTGCATATGACCATATGCCAATATGGGTATATTTTGAACTATCAAGTGTTGGTTCTCCATATGAAATATTTCCAGGGATTAAGCTCGTTAAAAAGTCAAAAAATTGTGCGAATAGTAAGAAATTGAACTCAAACTTTATTTATTTTGTAATTTTACTTCCACGCTTATATGAAATATATTATATATAATATGAAAACAAATGGTTATGTAGGTAAATACTAAAATATTATTGGTTTTTTTTTATCCACATCATAGGTTTGCTAGATAGATGTAAATAAATGTACGTAATAATCATACCATAAATGTTTTTTTTTTGCTATCAATCATTTTTATTAATATTTGCGTACTTATTTTTTTATATATTATGTACATTTCAACCGATTAAACTTTTATGGACATTACATACATATTATTTTACTTTATAGTAATACTCATAAGTAATAAGTACTTATTATTATTTTTCTTGAGCAATAAAGCAAAAAATAGTCTTAAGTGTTTAAAAAAAAGATTAACTTTTACATTAAATTTATAATAAAATGTGATATTTAAGGTTATATAATAAAATAATAATAAGTAATTTATTTGACACATTGGCTTTTAAGCACTAATGTTATCTACTAGAGTGACTAATAATGATACCATAGGTATTTTATGATAACATAGTTTTGAAATCAACCTAATAAAATAATAATTTTTAATATCTTATAGAAATTTGTGTAAGTGAGTTTGAATTCTAAAGTTTAATTTATTTACACTATTCGTAAAAGTATTTTTGTAAAAACTATGTAAAATATTAAAGCAAAGAATAAAGCTATATTTTCTCAAGGTCGGTTTTGTTTAGTACCAAACTTACTTAAATGGATAATTTGTGCTTCAACAATTGTGTTATTTCTTAACCAGAAAAAAAAAAATAATAATAATAATAATAAAAAAATACACGATTCTAAAATCGAATGAAATATATTTGTGTTTATAAAACTTTTTCTATTATTGTGTTATAAACTGTTGAATTATACGTCAGCATTTACTACAAAACATACATTACGAGTTTATCAGAGTTCTTCTTTGTCCTATTCATCTTAATATAAAAACACAAGTTTAAGAACTAAGAACTCTAAGTGTAAGCACTTGCAGATTACTATATTCATAAGTTATGCTTCTACTTCATGTAAAAGTTGGGATATGAATTATAGATAATTGGTAGTCATTGTAGTTAGTTAGATTGATTCCACAACACATACTAAATACATAAATGTAAAAGTTACAAATGGAGTGAGCAATTTATATTCGTGCAACTAAGAATTTATACACTTGAGAGTAAGTCAAAATAATTACGCCTGCGGTCGTTTAAAATGATTTGATATGTGAGTGGAGAGAGAAAAAACCCCATAATGAGTAACATTTGTGAATTGCAATTTTTTACTTTGAAAATTGGTGATTTACTTCTTATATTTGTGTATTAAAATAAAATTAATTTGAACGATTATTTTTTATCTTATAATGTAAAAATTAAGAAAAATAAGTGCGGTGTGGTCTAAAATTCTATTATTACCTACTATAAATCATATTAAATGGTTATTATAATGCTATTATTCATTAAAAAATAAATAAAATACGGAACAAACTTAAATTTTGACATTCTTTGGCTCGTATATATCATATATCATATCACTCCAAATAAGAAGAAACGACATATCGTTAATAGTTTACACTGAAAACATGCGTTAACTATTGTAATTTATTATTTATCATTAATCATTTTATACAGGAATATACAAGCATTATATAAATATGTTTTTGTGATGAGTTAAAGAAAATTCATAAATAAAAGAGAGTTGATTTTGTTGTGTTTAAAAAAGTGCATTGTAATTGCTATTATAAAAACCAATAAATCTTCAGCTAATTTAATTTAGTCTTCCGTCGTTAGAGTTAAAAAAATTTTTAAGGCAGTTCCATAATGATAAAAATTAATACTTTTATATCTGCTTATCATATACCTATATTATAAGTAACATAATTATTTTTCATAGAACAACAGTGATAGATAAATTGATAGTAATTACTAAAACACCTTAATTTTTTTGTTTAATTATTATGTACTCATCAAGTAATCCTCACGAATGCAGATATTACATTTCATATACTTATGAGCGAGTTGAAAGTTATTAAATAACAAATTTATGAGTGAGCATGAATGTCGTATTTACCTAATACAGGAATTATGAAAAGTTTAGCATGAAAACTACACCTTAAAATTTAAATACAACGTTATTTGAACCCTTGAGAAAAACATATTTATATAGGTACTGTGTTTAAAACGTGAATTAAATAATCGTTAGCATAACATTTACTTGGACTCGACTTAGAAACGTCGTAATATATATTTACACGCATATATAATAAGTTTCTATATTTCTATTTATTTTATTGCCCATCTAAATAGTAGGTGATCAGTATCAACTAATAAATAACAAGATAGCATGAGAAGCAATTCATTTTTTCCAAACGTTTTGTATAAAAAAGTTGAGGTTTTTTCTGGAAATAAATGATCCACTTTTAACTTTTAAATAAGAGAGTGACGTAAAAGATTATGTGACACAAAAGTTATACTAGTGACTGTTGAGAGAGAGAGAGAGGAGGGGGGGAGGGAGGGAGAGAGAGAGAAAGACAGCACACAATCAAGCGTGAGCTCCGGTTTCTTACATTATGTTGGTGCCGTCGTAGGTATATTTGGGATTTATTTCCGGAACATGGTCGCTGTCAGGCCCTTAAAGAAATCCATGGCTTCCGTTCTACGTTCTATTTTACACTCTTTATGTAAAAGTGTGTATTATGCCGTGTATGCTATGTTCACTTGTTCTATAAATAAAAATACACTAATAGTCGTGTTAGTTGACACGTAAAAAATAAATTAAGTGGTATTAGTTTCGATATAGATTTATTGTAATAGAAGTAAAAAAAAAAAATGGTGGTATATGTATGTTTCAAACACAAAAACGAGTAA